TTTGATGTTCCCTTTATAAGGTATTGTTTTCCTCTGATATTATGAATGAAATCTATATAAGGAGAATTTCACATGTATTTTTCATTTAAATGTTATGCCATATCATATGATTAAATTTATAAATAATGGTAAAAAACAACACTAATCTATTTTTACTAAAACTATGTGTGATATTACCAATAAAGATGAACATCATTGAATTGTCTAGCCAATAGGGATAAGAATAAAAATAACCAATTGTATGGTTAAGGTCTTTCTATCATCAGCTGATCTTGTTTTTCTTTTTTTCTACGTATAGTTTTTCACAATGTTATTACTGTATTGAATTTCAGTAAAAATAAAACATTTTAATTAACATTTTATTTAAATTTAATAGTTGAGTTCATAAATTCATTGAAGCTAGACCAGCATAGAAAACCTGAAATCACTGGATAGTCGTTTCATCCTTGTGGTGGACTACTCAGTAGTACTTATTGACGATCCCGCCTCGTGAGAGACGAACTCAGGACCTATCAGTCTCACACGAAAGCACTTAATCACTAGACCATGTACCAGCCGGCATTCAATAGTGTTAATGTTTAACTTCAACTAATTCACCAAATTGGGCCACCGTCCACCATTGTCATCAGTGAATAATTATTATCTCATGAGGTAGGATCATGGATGCACACTGCTGAGAAGTCCTACTTGTGGACGAAACGGTCATCCAGTGCTTCCAGGTTATTCATGGTGGTCAATTGACTCATGAATTGAACTATTAAATTACTATAATATCCACAAAACCCCTCTCTGATTAAAATTTTATATTTAAACAAAGAAAGAACAATAAGGTTTGTTGAATAAAATGAATTCATTCTATTATCCTTATATAACCTATAAATTATTACGTTTCAGCATATAAATACTCATCCATCTGAACTATGTATATTCATACACTTTATATCCTTATTATTTTTATTATTATGAATTTGGTTATATTCGTAAGATATATCTAAACTTCATAAATTAAAACATGCTAAACTGATGAAAAACCGTGAAATATAATCAATTCATTTTGTTCTGTAAACCTATTTGTTCTTGATTTGTTTAAGTTTTTCAGGGGACCTGCTTGTATAAAATTTTATATCAGTATAGGGTTTTGGAGACTGTTGAGTTTTTATTGAAATCATGAATCGATCAATGTTGAACCATCATTGAATACCTGGAAGCACTGGATGGCCATTTCGTCCTAGTATGGAACTACTCAACAATGCACATTCACAGTTCCGCAGGTGGGGTTCGAATACAAGACGAAATTGCTGTCCGGTGCTTCCGGGTTTTTAATGATGGTCTAACATCGATCGATTCATGATCTCAATTAAACTTTTATACTCATTTCACATGAATTATTTTGAATGAGTACTAGATTTCTATTTGAATATTCAGAAAGTAAGTTCAAGCAGTTTCTCACACATTTTCCTGTGTTTCTTAGAGGCTATTATACATTATTCGTTCAGTGTGTAAAAGTAATCAAAGAAAACAATAGAAGATGGCTACGCAATATGGTGGATATATTGAATTTAGACTGGTACAATATCACATACCGGCTCAGTGGTCAAAAAGTTAAACATTAGTGTGTTAGGCTAATGCTCGTGGGTTCTATTCTCTGTGATGGAGCTAAAACACCTGCGCATTGTTACCACGTTTTTAACAATTGTCATAGACTAATTCGTAATCTAAATTGCATTATGATAATAGTAAATGAAATCGGTATCATCCATTTTTTAAGAGACTTATATCTATTAATTGAATATGCTCTGGAATAAAAGTTCGTTAATAATACCCATTAATATAAACTGGAACGAGCCTGTATTACTTATTATAAATAATTGTCCTGTTAATTACAAATGATAGTGACAGATGTCTGATTTGAACTACTGAATTTTGTTAGTAGTTGCAGAAATTCTTTCCAATTTTCTTTAATACTGACTAAATGTGACTATTTTGATTGTTAATTTTTTTCATAGTATTGTATTTCAAAATGAAAGCTTATTGTTAAACTCATATTTTGTTGATTCGGGTTGTTACTTTCTTTAAGGGTTAAATTTATTTTGGTGGAAAACTCATCCCAAAATAATATAGAACAAGACTTAGTATGATTAGTTATTTTCATAAAAGTTGTTTATATTCTCATCCAAAGATTTATTATTATATTCTTAAGAACTGTCTACAGTAAACATCACGAAATGACATTAACTTTGCGATGAAAGTCTTAGAGCGCCAGGCAGACATTGTTTTTTTTATTATGAAGGAAGTATCCACATTTAGTCCCCTCGCCAAACGCATTACCACCCCTGAACCATTAAGATGCAATGAAATAGGCATATTACTATACATATTGAATTATAGCATTCTGTAGGATACAAGTCATATCCTAGTGAAGTCTTGGTGGACATTAATCGTATTGGAGGTGGAGATTGCGATGACTCTTCTTTACAAAATGATTTATTACTAAAGATAAAAACATTTGCTTATATTTACCTGTGATTTTTCTTATCATAGATTTTATATTGTTTATCGTTCACAGAAATTTTTCAGTGAATTCACATTACTCAAGCACTAAATTTTTATATACATTCAGAGTCCTGAAGTGATAAATCACGAACCGATCTCATTTAAACCACTATTGAAAAATTGGAAGTACTGGATAACCGTTTTGTTTTATTGTGAGGATCTCCACCAGTTTTCACTCAAGTCTCCGCCCATGGTAATCAGACTGAAGACCTTTATTCTCGCGTGTGGGCGCCATAATCTCCACGGATCCCCATACACTAAAAATTAATCTGTTGATTTTTTTAAAAAATAAAATGTTCAATATATTACGTCAATGTATAAATATAAATTATTCAAATATCGATTCGTGAACTGCTAACATCTAACTGGAGATCACTCAATATTTATCGTGAAGATCGATCAAGAAATAAGAAAAGGGAACTTGTTGAAATACTTTGTGCTGAGAATTCTATATTGTACTAAAAAATAATAGTGAATACAGCTGTTAATAATAATAATAATAATAATAATAAAAGTAATGTTTAGTATATTTTCGATGGGAACAACAAGTTTTAGCATTTCGGTAAATCACAGTTATCGTTAATTGTCCAATCTATATTGATTTACACGAAAAAGATCATTTAATTCATTGAGAATTTAGAAACATAAACTAAGCTACATTGTAGTCAAACACTCGGATACTTACTTACTTACTTACGCCTGTTACTCCTCGTGAAGGAGCATAGGCCGCTCACCAGCATTCTCCATCCAACCCTGTCCTGGGCAATCCTTTCAAGCTCTTTCCAGTTCTTATTCATCTTTTTCATATCTGCTTCTATTTCCCGACGTAATGTGTTCTTTGGCCTTCCTCTTTTCCGCTTCCCTTCAGGATTCCAAGTTAGCGCTTGTCTCGTAATGCAGTTTGATGATTTCCTCAATGTATGTCCTATCCATTTCCATCGTCTTTTCCTAATTTCCTCTTCAGCTGGAAGCTGGTTGGTTCTCTCCCACAAAAGGCTGTTGCTGATGGTATCCGGCCAATGGATGTTGAGTATCATGCGTAGACAGCTATTAATAAATACCTGTACCTTCTTGATGGTGGTTGTTGTAGTTCTCCAAGTTTCAGCTCCGTACAGTAGAACTGCCTTGACGTTCGTATTGAAGATTTTGACTTTGATATTGGTTGAAAGTTGTTTTGAGTTCCATATGTTCTTCAGTTGAAGGAATGCCGCTCTAGCTTTGCCAATCCTCGCCTTGACGTCTGCATCTGAACCTCCTTGTTTATCGACGATGCTTCCCAGGTATGTGAAGGATTCCACGTCTTCCAGAGTTTCGCCATCAAGAGTGATTGGATTGCTGTTCTCCGTGTTGTGTTTGAGGACCTTGGTTTTCCCTTTGTGTATGTTGAGGCCTACTGATGCAGAGACTGATGCTATGCTGGCTGTCTTTATCTGCATTTGTTCGCGTGTATGCGATAGGAAGGCTAGATCATCTGCGAAGTCCAAGTCGTCTAATTGGTTCTGAGCTGTCCATTGTATGCCGTGGTTTCCCTCAGATGTCGAGGTGTTCATAATCCAGTCGACCACCAGAAGAAACAGGAAGGGAGAGAGTAGACAGCCTTGTCTTACTCCGGTCCTTACTTGGAATGCGTCTGTCAGCTGTCCTCCATGCACTACTTTGCACTGTAGTCCGTCGTATTAGTTCCGGATAATGTTGACAATCTTCTCAGGAACTCCGTAGTGTCGAAGAAGTTTCCATAACGTCCTCCTATCTACACTGTCAAATGCCTTCTAAACACTCGGATAAGAGACTCATTAATGGGTAGTCATATACTAAAATTAAATACTTCAAGATTATGATAACTAAATATAAACTGAATCAAAATAATATGATAAGAATAAATCTTTTTATGTAGTGTTGTTTTCTCTAACCTGAATGGTTTAATTGTAAAGTTCTGCTACATGAAGTAGACACTCAAAGAATATAACATCATCAAAAGTATTCAGCTAATCTGGAAATCTTCATTTTAGAACCGAAATCCACAGGTGATAGATGTGAATATAGGTTATTACTGGTGTCTTCTTCATATATATATATATATATATATATATATATATATATATATATATATATATATATATATATATATATAATGAGTGAAATACCCTTCGATCAAAGGTAATTTTATTTGTATATTGTAAATAAGTTTAATATTTTAATAATTGAGATCATGAGTCAAGTGAAGCTAGACCACCATAGAAAACCTGAAAGCACTGAACGGCCATTTCATCCTACTGTAGGACTCCTTATCAGTGTGAATCCAAGATCCTACCTAGCGAGATTCAAATATGAATAATATATTAACAAACTGATTATCATTTCAAGTAAACTATATCCCTAGAACATATTAAATAGAACAATGTTACCGTCGTTTTTATTTTTTCTTTGTTTTTTTTTAAAAATTTTAGTGAAAGATATAATCGACGACTTAATGGAAAATTTGAATCATCCGGTGATGTTTTTCATCAAGCTGCAGCAAGATTTCGTTCAACTGAAGATATTACACGTCATTCACAATTATCATTAACATCTACAGAAAATTTATCAATGCATAAACGTAGTTATTCTACTGATAATGTTCCATCAGATTATCATAGATTAACTGTTGATCATTCATGGGAACCAAATGATGAACCATTACTTATAGAATATTCATATGAAAAAATTAAAGAGAAATTAAATCAATTAATTGAAATAGCTATTCAAAAACAAATTGATATACAAACCATACCACAATTTATAGCAATAGCATTAGAAAAAGAATATGGTCGTAATTGGCATGTAATTGTTGGTCCATATAAAGCTGGTTGTGCTGTAACACATTTAATTGGACGATTCTCTAATGCTCAATATGCATCATATCATGTGATTGCATTTCAAACAATGGATTTGTAAATTGTTTAATTACTTACTTACTTTCATTTGTTATTATTACTACCGTTTTATATCTTATCATTTTACTTGTTTATTATATTTTATTGGTAATATAGAACTTGTGTACCTACATCAGTATGTTTTCTTTATTATTTATATTGCAATATAACAAATTAGTTCATGTTATGGATTATATGTTCTTTGAATAACATTAACCTTGAACGTTAACATTAGAGAACTATGGAAAACTGTTGTACAAGTGTTGAAATTTTCAACAACAAAAAAATGATAAAGGTAACTCTTTGTAATTGATAACTCAAGTCATTGATCAATTTCAAGTTTATATCCTCAGTTTTTAAATTATACTCTAATTATTAATGTTATTACTCTGGTATCCATTACTAAAATAGGTAGGGCTGAGTTTTAACTTAGTGACCTAGTGATTGAAAGTTGAATAGTTTAAACATTAAGCCATTGTTTAACTATGATGGAAAGGGGTAAATAAGTTCAGTAACCGAATAAAATGAATGAAATGAATTTCAACTTAGAATATTGTTATGCCTCAATCGCTTGTTACTTATAGTTAAAAAAAAACGAGGAACCACTGTAATTCTCATGACTTGAGTAAAAAGATTTATTAAACCCAAAATACGATAAGCCTAGTCAAAAATATACTTATATATATATATATAGCTCCGCCTGGAGTCCCTCCGGGGGCTACTGCCGGTCCAAAGCCCAGATAAAGGAGGAGGGTTGAACATGGGGTTAGCGACCCCATCCCGTAGAAAACTAACTCGCTAAAAAAACGCTAACGAGAATATATATATATATATATATATTGATTGTACACGCATTTTGATTATTAAATTAGGATGAAGTCACATATATGAAAAATATCCAGAGTTATAACAAGTCACATACAGCATGTCCTTCTGGGCATTGATTATGCTAATTTAATACAAGATTATTGTATCTTGAACAAACACCAAATTCAAATAAATTAATGATGTAACGAATAAAATACCACAATGGGAAACAAAATAAATACCACATTGAGTGATTAACACATTGAATTTAAACTGAAGTAATGTTGAATAAAAATCACAATGAGTAAAAGAATGTAAAATTGTTTTTTTTTTTAAATTATATCATATCACCTCCCCTTCCTTTTTAATGAAATACGTAAGAATAAGTTTTCCGTGGAGTGTCTATTCAAAAGGTTGCTGTTCTTTTACGTACTCGCTTGGATCTTGGCCGGTTGTATGGTCGTGTTCCCATTACCAGTTTGTTTTTTCATCTTTGTTTGAGAGAAAAATCAACTTAATCTTTTGACAACTATGCATATATGATTCTCCCTGTCCCACGAAACAATGTTGGATATTCATGTACCCACATTACAAATAATGTGACTTTGTTGACCTAAACTGTCTTAACGCTACTCGCACCTTCATTATATATGCGCGTTGGGGAAAGTGGGTATACATAAGGGTTGAAAGATCCTTTTATATGATCTTGACTTGTATGAATAATATTATACATGGTAATTTTTTTCATCTTTCATACAAAAGAAATACGATGTCATTATTCCATTCACAATACGAATATGCATATTTTAGATTTTGACTTGTCAGTAACAATGCATGTAATTCATGTACGCTCACTTTGTCTCCAAAATATTTAAACAGGACATCTGTACGTGCTTTATACCCATTAGGATCAGCAGGTGGCTGCGTTCTACACATTTAGGTATATTGCAATTGAATTTACTTTGAATTAATGAAACAAGATTTGACTTTTTGTATGTGACATTCACTTTTTCGGAATAAACAAGATAAATATCATTAGGTTCGTTGGGTATTTGTAGATGACTATGACAAAGTTGAATCAAGAAAATTATCTTCAAATCGTGTAAGTACTCACAAGGTTATAATTCATAAAATATGTAATACAATAGATGAAAAGTACTGTTAATTGATTACACTTCAGACAGAGTAACGTAGGTTCCTTCATAGAAGTGCATTCATTTAATCTGTCATAAGTTTTGATACCACAACCGGATCTGTTGTGAGTTAGTAACTCACTGATGACAATGGTGGATGGTTGCGCAATTTCGTGGATTAGTTGAAGTCAGATATTAACACTGTTGAATGCCGGCCGGTTCAGTGGTCTAGTGGTTAAGCACTCGTGATCGAGACTGATAGATCCTGGATTCGGATCTCCCGAGGGGCGAGATCGTGGAAGCGCACTGATGGGGAGTCCCATACCAGGACCAAACGGCAGTCCAGTGCTTCCAGGTTTTCCATGATGGTCTAGCTCCAATTGACTCATGATCTCAACCATTGAAAAAATATATATATATATTAAGATATATAAAATTAATAAGAAGACAAGAAAAAGTAACTGTTATAATGAAACTATTGACTAGTAAAATTACTGTAATGATTTAAATGAGCACTTTTTTCACGTAACTGATTGTCAAATTATAAATGAAGTGATATTCAATGCCAGAACTATTGAACCAACTGTTTATCTACATACATTTGAGGCTGAAATCTCTTATACACATAAATGAAATACTCAACAAAGATAGTGTGATTTATCGAATAAAAAAATAAGTAAAGAACAAAATTCAACATCATAAAACGATCAATAAATTTTCTTTTCTGCTTAATTGTATCTATAACAAGATAATTTACACTCTAACTGATCTCGAGTTATGATAAGTCTTCTAATCGAACTCTAGATTTTGTCCCTAATCTCTTCCAGTAACCATCAGGCTAGATCTACACAGCGACTTGAACACGAGAGAAGAGGCGCGAGATATGGAAGGAACGCTTTACTCTAAAAGTTCCTTAATGTACAAAAAATCTGGGGTTTTTACAGTACTTTAGATGTCCTTGGGTGTTCGGAAAACTTTGGAATGCTACTAAACATTGTAGCAGTATGAGTAATCATCCAATCAGAAACTCGACATGCAACTTTTCACTTTCTAGATATTTCTGGCAAAACTTCTACTGAACGCTGGTTGGATAAGTTGCTTTTCAGCGTTTTCCGAACCTTTCTTGGGTTTTTTTTCGAGGAGCTTTCTGGATCTCTTCAACAAGTTATATAATTTATAATGTGTCAATAAGCTTGGATACTTAAGTTCCAAAGTTTCACTGTTCACCTTTATGAATTATTACTTACTTACGCCTGTTACTACCAATGGAGCATAGGCTGCAGGCCAGAATTCTCCAATACAATCTATCCTGGGTCTTCCTTTCTACTTCTCATGTCTGTCTCCATTTCTCGAAGTAATGTGTTCTTTGGTCTTCCTCGTCTCATTTGGCCTTCAGGATTCCACATGAGGGCTTGTCTTGTGACACAGTTGGGTTCTTCCCTCAATGTGTGTCCTATCCACTACCAGCGGTTTTTTCCTAATTTCTTCCTCCGCTGGGATCTGATTTGTTCTCTCCCACAGTAGGTTGTTGCTAATAGTGTCTGGTCAACGGATCCACAGTATTTAGCGTAGACCGCTGTTAATAAACATTTGTATCTTCTGGATGGTGGCTTTCGTAGTTCTCGAAGTTTCCACCCCATACAGTAGAACTGTTTTGACATTTGTATTAAAAATTCTGACCTTGGTATTGGTTGACAAGTGTTTTGATTTCCTGATGTTCTTCAGTTGTAAATTTTCTGAATTATACAATAATAAAATTTTGAAACTTACAAATTCCACTGTATATTCTCATGTAATCAACAAAGATGGTTACTAAATAAAAGATAAATGATAAGCCTTGCAATCTGAACGCTATACTCGGTTCCTAAGCTATTCTTCTAACCCACAAGCTAGAACTATACAACGACCTGAACACGAGAGAGAAGGCGAAAAGTAAGCGAAAAGTACTTTACTCCAAAGGTTCATTTTAATGCAGAAAATATAGGGTTTTTATAATATTCTAAATGTCCTTGGGTTACTCAAAGATTCTGGAATGGTACTAAACATAGTAGCAATATAACAATCAGCCAATCAGAACCTCTGCATGTGACATTTCACTTCCTTAATGTTTCTGGCTAAAACTTCAAGTGAACGCTGATTGGATGAAATACATCTTAGTGTTTGCTGATCTTTGCTTGTGTTTTGTGAGAAATTTTCTGGATCATCACAATAGTAAAATGTATTACTTACTTACTTACGCCTGTTACTCCTCGTGAAGGAGCATAGGCCGCTCACCAGCATTCTCCATCCAACCCTGTCATGGGCAATCCTTTCAAGCTCTTTCCAGTTCTTATTCATCTTTTTCATATCTGCTTCTATTTCCCGACGTAATGTGTTCTTTGGCCTTCCTCTTTTCCGCTTCCCTTCAGGATTCCAAGTTAGCGCTTGTCTCGTAATGCAGTTTGATGATTTCCTCAATGTATGTCCTATCCATTTCCATCGTCTTTTCCTAATTTCCTCTTCAGCTGGAAGCTGGTTGGTTCTCTCCCACAAAAGGCTGTTGCTGATGGTATCCGGCCAATGGATGTTGAGTATCATGCGTAGACAGCTATTAATAAATACCTGTACCTTCTTGATGGTGGTTGTTGTAGTTCTTCAAGTTTCAGCTCCGTACAGTAGAACTGCCTTGACGTTCGTATTGAAGATTTTGACTTTGATATTGGTTGAAAGTTGTTTTGAGTTCCATATGTTCTTCAGTTGAAGGAATGCCGCTCTAGCTTTGCCAATCCTCGCCTTGACGTCTGCATCTGAACCTCCTTGTTTATCGACGATGCTTCCCAGGTATGTGAAGGATTCCACGTCTTCCAGAGTTTCGCCATCAAGAGTGATTGGATTGCTGTTCTCCGTGTTGTGTTTGAGGACCTTGGTTTTCCCTTTGTGTATGTTAGTAAAATGTATAGGGAAATCTAAAAATAGAAAGAATTCTTCAAGTGTCTTCATTATATATATATATATATATATATATATATATATATATATTCATATTTACAGTTTTTGTAAAACTATTCCAATAATCAGTTAGTATATAACTGGATTATATATATATATATATATATATATATATATATATATATATATATGTAGTAT